ACTCTTAGTAATACTTCTCGACTTTTGCTGATATACTTATCTGAATTTTAACACTATTTTTGCTCATATTCCCAACACAGAAGACTTGATGAGTTTCTTCCTCAATTGGAATTTCTGTGTTTTCCAAATTCAAATCAATTTCCCTTGTCGACACGCAAATCCCATTCTGCAGCGCCGTGAACTTCACATTCGATCGTTCCATCATAAAAATCGTAGTAGTCTGACTCACATTCTTTTGGTGCATTTCTTCAAGGACTTTTTTCGTCCCAAAAATGATGAGCACAACAATTCCACTTAAAATGAGTACCACAAATATCACAAGTAGTACAACAACCCACCACACCGCTTTCCTTTCACACAGAGTCCCCTCAGCATTCGGCGAATTCCAAAATTCACATTTCGTGCATTTCGACTCTTTCACTTCTTTACACTTCGCTATTTGTGAAAGACCAACACAACTCCCATTCAACAGTAAGACTAAAGACTCTTCACATGAAGTACACTTCGTCTGTGTTAAACTGCACGTCTTACAGGTACTCTCACATTTCGCACACTCATTCCCATTCACACTATAATACCCTTTCTCACACTGTAAACACCCACTCTGTGTTACTTCCACGTGACATCCAATTATATTGTTTTGCGGCAAACAGTCCCCTTGGTTTGTTTTATAGTTCGTCAAATTACACGTGAAACACCCATTCGCGGTGTTACACGTCGAACACTTCTCATCACAGTGAACACAGTCAAGTCCATTTCTGTAATACCCATCAACACACCTCACACACCCACTCCCAAAGGCCGCAAGTTGCTTGCACTTGTCCGTCAATTCATCTATAGAAACACATTTGTTACTCGACAAAAATTTGTTGTCCGAACAACTCAAACAGAACGTTGAACTTTCATAACACGTCAAACAATTTGCACTGCACGTTTCACAAAGTTGTGTTGTCTTGTTATAATAAAACTGGTCTTTGCACCGAAGACATCCAACACTATTCTGTTCTTCACAGTTCTCGTCTTCCTTTATAGAACAACTCCCACCATATAAAACGTATCCACTCACACACTCTTTGCACTTCCCATTCACCATATACAGACACTTCTCAATTTCTATAGAACACTTCCCATTCAAATCATTTGGGTTCTCACAATTTGTATTCTCACACTCCCCTTCTAAATTCATTGCACTCTGACTATCACATTTAATGGTTTTGTCTTCCTCACACAATTCTGAATGTTCATATTTTGCAGTACATTTCATACATTTTGTATTATTATTATTATTAATATCATTATTAATATAATACCCCTTTTGACATGTTACTATCACAGAGTCACTTGTTATTAAACTATTTTCATCTTTACTGTAACACCCCCCATTGCTATTTATATAATTCATTTTACTGTTACAAATTTGGCACTTCCCATCTATTTGTGTAACAAAACACTTCCCCTCCAAATTACACAAATTGTTTTCTAACGAATATCCAGTTGAGCATTTCACACACAAATTCGATTTCGTCAGAACGCAGTTACTATATACTACACATTTCCCAGTAATAACATGATATCCATTACTGCACCTTTCACATTCACTTTTACGTGTTGGACAGAAGATGCAATAGGCGTCGTCGCACTCTCGTTGACTTTCACATAATTTTGAAGTTCTGTTATACACTCCACTCCGACAGTATATGACGGGGAGGGGGAGTAACACTCCGTCCGTATTATATCCCGCGTTAAATAAAATCAATCCATTTGACACTGAAACTGTTGTTTCTGAAATAAAGAGGACTCTTTTTGTAAGTGCAAAAATAGTCATTTCAACAACGTCTTTCGCTGAAATGCCAATAACAAAATTGTCTGTTTTAAATAATGAAATTTGCGTGTTTCCAAAAGTGACACTTTCATCTCCAAATTCTTCTTCTCCTTTCAAAGTATTATTATTATACCTATT